ATTCTAAAATCCCTCGTCCTCCGAGTCCGAATCAGCATCCGGCACCAAAGCCCGATACCGTCGGCTCGCCAAATCCTCTTCCAACCCTCCATCGCTCTCAGAATCAACATACCCCTCGCCTCCGACCAGCGACAGCGCCACAGGCAAGAAGACCAACGCGTGTGTGGCGGCAAAGATGACCAAAGCGACCCAGATACGGAAGTAGTAAATCTCAAAGATCTTGCTACGGGTAAAACCGAGCACAAAGACACCGAGCAGCTTGGTGACCGTGATACCCGAGAAGACGGAGCCACCGACGTTGCTGAGAGCAGTCCACGCACGCGCGTCGCGGCCACGGAAGCGGTTCTTGGCGCGCTCCATGCATGAGCGAGACGGGAACATGAAGGCGCGGGCAATGTGGGCGCAGAACTCGACGGCAATACCGACACAAATGATGAGGTTGACGAGCGAGACGGCGTTGAGGGAGACGCCCATGACGGCCATGGCGCCGATGATGTCGACGATGGCCATGACGACGGTGAAGCTGACTACTGCTGCTGTGACCAGGGAGCCGAGCAGGACGGAGGCGACGATGAAGATGATGCCGATGGCGGAGCCAAGGAGGGCGCCGGTGAGCGAGACGATGCTGGCGTACTGATCGAAGAAGACGTAGAAGACGCTGTAGGGGAAGACGTCTAGTCCTGTTTCGGCGCTGATCTCGTTGGCGATACGGCGGGCAGCGGCGTAAGCGTCGATAAAGTCCTCTTGGCTGCGGAGCGGGATGTGGCTTGTACGGAAGTGACTGGCCGGAATGGTGTCCCTTTCCAAGTCAACCAAAACAGCAGAGCCATACGAAGCCTGCCCGCCCAAGGGACAATCTTCATTTGTTGGCGCACTAAGGAACTTCTTCAAGTAGTAGACAAACTCGTCACCCTCTGGCATGCCAGAAAGAGTAATGTTCCATGCCGGCGTCCGGTTCGCAAAGCAGGGTCTCCGTCGCTCCATGCAGCACCTCTCGTTCTCGGGGTTAAGCCACTGGAAGAAGTCATCAATCCAGCTGGCAGTGGGCGTCGAGATATAAGAGACCTCAGTCCGCTTCCTCTCCTGTTCCAAGATGTTCGAAAGCGACATCTGCTCACAAGTGGTATAGCGGGCACAGACCTTCTGCTGTTGCGTCCGATCAGTAGCGTTAAACTCCCTGGTGACAAAATAGACCGGCGGACCAGTGTTGAGGTACTCGTAAAGATCGTTGAAATAAGGTATCAAGTACGAATCGTCTGGAATGGCAACGCGCTGGTCCAGACCCAGCTTGACCTCGGGAATCAGAGCAACACCAGCCGCAAACACGCCCAAGAAGATCATGACAATGACAGCCTTGGTCTTCTTGCCCAACAGGCGAGGAGCGTAAACCTTGCGAATGAACTGTTGGAGATAACTTTCCTCGGGAGCCTCAAGATAGACCGGGGCCGGACCTGCACCGTTGCTGGCGAGATGGACTCTAGCAGATTTGATTTGGATGCAAGGGAAGCAGTCCGCTCGAGAATCCTCAACGCGGATCTGATTCAGCGTCAGCACGGAAACAAACATGGTCACTTGAAGAATGGCGTTGATGAAGACAGCTCCAGCCGCATAGATGGCGAAGTTCCTCACCGCCGGCATGCCGACAAAGGCACCGAGCGCAAATGATGCCGTCTCGGTCAAGGCCGAGAAGAGGATCGAGGGGCCCATCCGTCCTAAAGCCCTAGAAATCCGTGCCTCAACCATGTCGTCAGGGTAGCTAACATTCACACGCTCAAACTCGTGAACAATCAGGAAGATGTTGTCCACACCAACAGCGAGAACGATGAACGGAATCACATCGACGATGATCAAGGTAGCCCGCAGACCAGCCCAAGAGAAGAGACCAATCGAGGCAGTGATCGACATGAGAACAATGACGATGCCCACGATACCGAGTGTGAACTTGGACTCAACCAACGAGACAGCCGGGTTGCGGATCAAGTCCTTGAAGGTCAGAGTAGTGGAACCAAGAGCGAGCGAAGCATACAAGAACATGATGATGTAGCTGATGACAATGATTTTGGCATCGGTGTTGGTGGACTTGTTAAGTTCTTCCTCAAGACTGATTTCGGTAGAGAAGGAAAGGCGGAGACCGCGCTCTTTGGCCTCATCTTGCACTTCCAACAGTCGGTTCTTGAGTGCCACTTCCCAGTCCATCGCACGGTCAACTTCGGGAGAGTTTTCAGGAGGATTGATCAACACCCAGGTAACAGTCATAGCTGAAGCTTCTGCAACGTTGCCGCCCTCTGGGTATCCGCCAAGAATCATGCTAGGGTCAAGAGGCTGCCCATACGCAGGGCGACACTCCACCGGGGACGCGGCGCAAGTCCGCAACGTGCTCTGCCAAGTCTCTGGATCAACAGAGTCGGGATCGTCTTGGAAGTAAGCAGCAACTGACTGAACAACGCAAGCATCACCAGTGGGCTTGAGGCACAGGTCCTGGAAACTGCTTCCATAATTGGCACCCTTGAGCGCCGCAACGCTCTTCTCGACATCCATCCACCAGAGGAGAGTATCACGGCTCAGGACGGGTCCAGGACCGGAGGGGTTGGTATCGTTCACAAGGAAGACCTTTTCAGCGCGGTAGAAGGCGCCGAAATGGGAGTCAAAGAAGGCTTTCTCCTCGGCCGCTGGTGAAGTTGGGCTAACCCACAAACGGGCCGGGTTCTTTTCAAGCTCAAAATGGAACCAGCCAAGACTGAGGATACTAGCGATCAGAATGCTGGTGACAATGGTAATGGCCGGGAACGTGGCCGCGATATATCCCAGCTTGCTGAAAGCAGAATCACACCATGTGTTGATGATGTATGTTTTTTGGGGGCGGTCAATCATGGCCACGTTCTGGGTCAGGTCTCCCTCATCCTCGTCGTCGCTCGGGGCAGCATCAGTGAGAAGACGGAGTCTTTCACTCCTGCGCTTAGCATGTCTCTTCCAGGCAATGTGGCCGACTACGGCAGCAATGGAGATAAACAAGATGACGCTGTAAGTCAAGATGGAAGCAAATGACAGGCACGGTAGTGCGCCGACATGGCAAGACCCAGCCTGTTCGACGTCCGGGAGCGTTGGGCAGATCTCGGGGCAGTCGACGCAGGCACAACGGAAGTTGGGGTCCTCGTCGTTGCATTTCTTGGGCTTCATGGGCAACGGCTTCATGTCGGGCTCAGCGTATTCGACAGGGAAGTTGATCTGGAAAGGCGAGCCACCGAAGCGTTCCTGGCCAAGGAACTTGAGCAACTGGGTGTAGTTCTTGGCACCTCCGCCTATCAGGTCCATGGCCCTCGAGTTTGTAGGACCAAACTTGACGTCCTTGCAGCTGTTGTAGAAGCCGGTTCCATACTCTTCAGAAATCAACTGGTCCAGCTCGGTCACTAGTTGCTTGCCCTTCTTCTCAATTGTCTTGGTAACATTGACGAACAGCGACTGGTTGGGAGAACAGGTAAAGGTGCAAAACATGTTGAAGAAGTTGTCTTTGCACGCCGGGCAAGACGATATTATTTGGTTCACTGTCGATAGAGAGGACTTGAGCGAGTCAACCTGCAGTGGGGTCAACATCAGCATCTTGCTTGGTAAACCCGACGAGCCGAAAGAGGGATTACCTGTTCAGGCAGGCAGCACACCGGCCCTGTACTCCATTTTGGGCCACAGAGATCAACTAGTTGTTGACGGAGATAGTCGTCTGGTTCCTCGGCCAAGCCATTGTCAACACAGGGCAACTGGCTTCCAAAGAGACCCTTGGATCCGCAGTGGCCTCTGATAGCACATCGTCCAGCTTCGTGCTTTGGCGTATATATCTCGGCTGTGACACTTCCCAGACCTGATAGTAGGAGCCCGCCGCTGGCCGCGACAAGCGTGGATAGCTTTATCATGGTCGAGAATCAATCAAGGGCAGGACGTCGTCGCTATTATTGACGTTGCCGTTGCCGCTCGGCGGCTTGGATGCGATGGGGAGTTCCCGCTCAATATTGGTCCGGCCAACGTTCTTCCCGGGAGACTGATGCAGGACCTATGTATCAGGTTGCATATGGTATGATACCAATAGTCGTCGTCAAATCAGCGATGGAGGTATGGTAAGGTCCTCGGAGTCACTTGGCTGTGATGGTCGCTTCGAGCTGTTCGACTTCAACTTGTTCTTGACCGTCGATGTCTCGGTGGATAGAGAGAGGACCAGGTAGGTGATCGGGTCCGGGCGATAGGGGATTGATTAGTGGACCAGAATCCCAGACGGCGATGATGGATGGTAGAACCTCCTGTCTGTTTTCCGATTATTGATAATGGGAGTTGGAGATGGGAAACTGAACCTCGCGGAACTGGAAATGGAAACTGGCACTTGCCCTGCCCCAGGCATGGAACGGATGACTTGGAAGCTCCCGCTCTGGTCCTGGGGCTTCCCTTCAGTTGATGAGGTGCCTGCCAGCGCTGTGGTCGTGTTTGGCTAGGTTAGGTGTATGCATGCGTCATCAACTGAAGGCAGCTAAGACGCCCTGTGTTTTCTGATTGGCTGTTTTCGGACTGGGGCAAAAGGTGGGAGGAGAACTCCGTCGAGGTACTAGGTACGCAGTGTGTAACGACTGGTAGAGGCCGCCAGCCCAGGCCGCGACACTCATGCAGTCCCTCAAAGTCCCTGAGAATCGATCACGCGGGACAAGGCCACAGCTGTGAATCCCTGCCAAGACCTGGCCAACAGCTGGATACGGCAGGCGGTGAAGTATTTACTATGAAGGGTTCGTGTCGAACCGTCTTCGTCCTTGGCCACCGTCACCAACGACGTACAACTAAGCTATGTACACTAACTAGTTGGTTATCTCTACAGAAACTTGTATGACAAGAGCATCTCAAAACTTGATATGTGCCTCAAAGCATACCTACATCCGCTATCATCTCTACTTGATCATCATCATCAATACATCCTAGCGCAAATACAACCACATGCCAAAGCAGTAAATAACCAACACAATACACGCTCCAACTCAGCTTTTCCAAAATCACACCCATGGGCTGTTTCAACACAGCTACCATGCGAACAGGCATATGACTGGACCCAAAATGGCCCAGCGACAACATATGCGAATCCCCTTTCCTCTCAACTCCATAGCAAAACCAATCAGACCCTCCCGGTGACGTAAAACTGGCCCGTCAACGTCTCGACCTTCCAACCGTCGTTTTTCAAGGCAAGTCCCACAGCTTGCCGAAGTCGCGAGACGCCACCCGAACTATGACGACCGACACCCGTAACCACCGTGAATCCCTCCATCCTGGCCTTGGACTTACGGTGCTCGCCCAGACTGTTCCACCACCGCCAGACTCGCTCCTTGGCAATGCGCACCCCGTCCAGAACGGTGACGCCGTGTAGATCGATACTGCAGTATGTGCTTCTCTGGTTGACTAGTTGTTCGGATGCCAGCGATATCCTTTCGGCAGCCGCACGGGCTTCTTCCCGGGCGCGTTCCGTGTAAACGATGGCGCCTTGTCGTCCCAAGGGTCCCTTGCGAGCAAGAGCCGAAGCCTGCGCGTAGAGGTTGGAGACTCCGTACTCACTGTCTGGGCTTGGCACAAGGGTAGAAGCCCTTTCAAAGGTGGTGACAACCTGTGAGCTTGCCATGCCGCCGCGCCGTGTTAACGACGAGGGTCGGATGGGTCCCTTAGCCCCTTCCAACTCCTCGTTGTCCACTGTCGGCAATACCACTGCGTAGTTCAGCGCAAGTTTTGCCTTTCCTTTGCTGCCTTGGTCCTTGGATTTGTTCTTGCCTCTGCGGGTTGCGGTGCTTCCCTGTGGCTCGTGAAAGCCATCCAGTCCCTTGGGCAGCTGGCCAGTTTCGTGAAGGTGCTGCCGGGTCAGAAGCTCGTCAAAGGCCCTGTCAAGGTCGCCTCCGCTTTGTTTAAGCACAAACTTGAGGGTGTGCTCCTTGAAGTTGGGAAACACCAGACGAAGTCGCTCGACCTTATCCAGCTCGTTCAGGTCTGATGAATCGCAAAATTTGAGGTCCTCGGACGACGAGGAGGACTCGAAGGAGAAGATGGAGTCGGATATCGTTGTGGCATTTTCCGTAGCCAAAGACTCAGACATGATGCTGTGATCGACTTCATCACCGTTTGCCCCCTCGACAGACATGCCCATTCCGGAGGGGTCAAACGACGTCGAGGCCTCACATGAAGCAGTCTGCGCCAGTGTGTTGAGAATGTCCTTAATGTCGTCATAGTCCGTTTGAATGTTTCGCTCCAGGGTAATAGCAAGAATGAGTGACTGATCCAGATCTCGAAACTCCTCCTGCAGTTGGATAATCCACGGTTAAACAATTGATTATTTTGACGAAAAAAAATGATTCCGGGGCATGATATGATAATAAGTGTTGTGGGTTCCAATCCGGCTTGAACCTACAAAGAGTTGTTCTAGAAGGGAGTCAACAGACTCCAACCGAGCCTTTCCCTCATATGAGGGAGAGCCTGATGGCTTCACATGGCTTTTCGTTTTCCTTCCCCCCATCCCAGGTGAAAAGGCTATGGTTGTCGCTTAAAGGATGTGCGTGATAGAATACCGCTGGTTTCGCGCTGTGGCATGAACATGAGGTGGATAAAAAAGACGAGACGGCTGGAATTCACTGTTCATGGTTTGTAAGATAGGCCCAGTGTCGAGGTGAGAATTGTGTTGACTGGAGGTGCCCAAATTCAACCTGAGGATGAGCCAATGTCAAAATTGGCCAAAGAAACCTAGCGTTTGCTTTTCTGTTTGCGCTTTCCCGACTTTCGCCCTGGGCCGCTTTCCTGTGAATCGGTGGGAGCGGGGGTCGCCAGGGGGTGACCAAGCAACTGGCCCCGATAAAAAGCCAGGGGAACCTTTCAGGTTGCGAGTGCAGGCCACACAGATCGAGTTAAGATAGTGTTAGCCAGCAGTCGAAAAGCAGGCTTTCTTTCTATCTTGCATTTAACAGCTTTGAGACCCCGCATGACTACTGCGGGGTCATTATCCGCTTTCCGTCTTCAGGTTGTGATGCTGAAGAGCTGAACAGGGGCCCATCGCGGGTTCTGACGTCGTCAACAATAATTAGGTTGATCCTCCAGCATCGACTCGATTCATGCTATCTGACTTGGGACGAGAGAATCAGCATTTGCAGAGTCACGTACTAAAAAGGATGACAGTCATTTCTTAAATCCGCTGGGTCATGGTTCATCCCATCGTTGACAGCGGGCTCATCAGTTTACGACGACGACGGTCTTCCTCCTCATGGGCACCTCAAGCACGCTGGTGGCCTAACCATCGACCGACGAACCTTGTCCATGGGCCGATCTGCCATTGTAGCGAGGAGTTGAAGGGGGCTATGCTGTAGCTACACCCCTTCTATCAGTCTCAAATATAGTGGGAGATGGTGTCCAAGTTCTCCAGTGTCGTTGACAGCGACATGAGCCTCAACTGCTTGACATCTCACCAAGCAATGGAATAAGCCGTGTGGATGGGCGGGTCGGCTCGCTTCTGAATAATGCATGCATCACGGCTCAGCTGCCATATGTCAGTGATGATGCAAAACAGCAACAACAGATACCGGTACCTACCATACACTACATATAAACTTTGGATGACACGATCCACGGTTGTCGTTCGGACGTCTCGGGGACCCGAGGGTCAGGAACATGAAGGCCGACGAAGAGTCCGAGCGGAAGGGCACACCTCCACTAGCTTCCCTTCCATCTTTGACCGCTTCCGGTTGTCGTCATTCCACAGCGTCCACTTCCATAAGGCGCCATCGCAACAGCGCTTGCATTGCGAATGGCGATGGTTGCACCAATGATAGACCCTAGACATGTCATATGCCTGAGTCAACATGGGGATTGATTCTCCAAGTGCCTGATGCTATGTACCTAGATATCAAAAGGCAGCGGATGACAGATGTCAGACTGCCAAAGAAGCCTCAGGATGAAACATGCAGGGACGGTGAAGTATCAGGCTACCGGCGAGATTGCACACACACACACACACACACACACACACACACACGCACACAAGTTCACAGCGTCCGTCACGCTTTGTCTCTTTTCAAACACCAACCGTGACTCGCGGTGTCTCTTGACCAAGTTGACTTGTCGCTGAACCTTACTCACCCACACCCTACGTGTCCTTCGTTCTTTCTCCTCTGGTGCCAGTCACCAGTCACAACAACGAACCAGTCGCCACGCCGTTCGCTATCAGGCATCAAACCGAAAGATCCAGGAGAGACATCCACTCGCTCTTATCCAAACGTTTACATCGACAACAACTGAAGGCTCAAGTTCTTGTTGCCCAAAATTGGTAACTTGGAAAAAAGGACACGGAACGGGCCTTATCGTATCATCACCGTTCACGCATTCTCGCCAGCACGTGAAGAAGCCATATCTTTGCATGCATACGCATCATTCTCTGCTGCAGTTTCCTTGCCTTGCAGCGTCAAGCACTCATCGACCTGAACTTTTCACCAATTACATGGTCCTTGCATCATGTCACAAAAAATGGGTTCGGTGTCACAGTCCAAAAGACTGTTGAACTATCCAGACCCTTTGAGAGGGTAAGCTCAGCTTTCACTACTGCAGCCGTCGCTGTGATCGTCGCTGAAAATTAAGCAGACGTGCTGACTGGTATTCACAGTCCGGATGTCCCATATGTGGTGGAGAGAAAGTCCAACCCGCCCATTCGCGGATGGATCATTTGCGCCGCTGCCTTCATGTAAGTTCTTCTTTTCAAGAGAGAGTCGCTCTATGTGCATGCTGAACCAACACCGATCATGCAGTTTGGAATATGTTCGCTTTATCAGGGAGATGATATGGCGCAACGCCGGCTTCGGCGACCTACGCAAGATTCGCCCCTATATCGAGGACTATGAGCCATGGTTTGAGCCTCAGATCGTACCCTATCCGGATTTTGAGACTACCGATGAAGTTAAGGATGACCTTGAGGATGACGAAATCCCGGAAACTGAGGCGGCCAAGCGAGACGACCTCCGCCACAGATATCCCCAGGCAAATTATTACTCAGTGGAGGACTATCGGAAACTCTACCTCTCAGGCGCACTCACACCGTTGGACGTTACCCAAGCTCTGCTGCCCCTGATCCGTCGCGACGTCGAGAACCCTACCGAGTACTCTTCAGCATGGTTCGACAGCAAGGTGGACAAAGTTTTGGCTGCGGCAACGGCGTCGACGCAGCGGTACAAGGAAGGACGCTCTCTTGGTCCCTTGGATGGCGTTCCTACTGGTGTCAAGGACGAGTACGACATTGACGGCTACGAAACCAACCTTGGCTCGAAAAACATCTACACAGGAACCATTCACGAGGAAGATTCCATCACGACCTGGTGTGTGCGCAAGCTGCAAGAATCCGGCGCCATCATCCTCGGCAAGCTTTCCATGCACGAATTCGGTCTCGACACCACCGGCAACAACCCGGTTCACGGTACTCCCAGAAACCCTCACAACCCCAACTACTACACAGGCGGCAGCTCCTCTGGCACCGGCTATGCCGTCAGTGCCGGTCTCATCCCTATCGGTCTCGGCAGCGACGGCGGCGGCAGCATTCGCATCCCCTCCAGTCTCTGCGGCGTGTTTGGTATCAAGCCCACCCACGGCCGTCTCTCTTTCAAGCCCGGCCAAAACCACTGCCTGACCTGCGCCTGTCTCGGTCCCATCGCTGCGGACATCAAGTCCCTCGCCACCGTCTTCCAAGTTATCTGCAAGCCTCACCCGTCCTCTCCCTTCCCGCCCTTGAAGCGCCTCAGCTTGACCGGCCCTCCCAACGGCGGTAGCCACCCCAAAGTCCTCGGTATCCCCTCCGCCTGGTTCGCTCGCGCCACGCCCGCCATCCAAACCCTCTGCAACACCATGATCCGGCGCCTCTGCTCCGACCACGGCTATACGGCAGTGGAAATAGACATCCCCTTTCTTCCCGAGGGCCAAATCGCGCACGCCATCACCGTTCTCACCGACGCCGCCACCCTCCTCCCGGAAACCAGCAACCTGACCTACGGCAATCGCATCCTTATCGCCCTTGGTACCGTCACGCCCGCCTCTGATTACATGCTAGCCATGAAGCTGCGCCGCGTACTGATGCAGCACCTCTCCTGGCTGTGGCAGCAATACCCGGGGATGTTGATTGTCACCCCCACAACCAGCTGCGAGGGCTTGCCGATCAAGAGCAAGAGCGAGCTGAAGTGGGGCGTGAATGATGGGGATAGAACGCTGCAGAGCATGGAGTATGTTTGGCTGGCGAATTTCTGTGGACTGCCAAGCATCTCGGTGCCCGCTGGGTTTGTCAGTCCAGAGTCGGGGTTGGTGAACGATATGGACGTGCAAGGGAGAGGGGAGGTGCCCGTAGGATTGATGGCTATGGGAGAGTGGTGCGCAGAGGAGCAGTTGTTGCAGTTTGGAGCCGTGTGTGAGGAGGCGGGCGCTGATAGGAGGAGACGGCCGCCGATTTGGGTCGATGTGGTGAAGAAGGCTAAAGAGGAGGTTGCGCAGCGGGGGTAGATGAAGGAGATGGGGGTTGAGTCTCAAATTGGGGTGATGTCTGTTTTGGAGAGCAGGGTTTGGCCAGAGGGTCGAAGAGAGACTGTGGAATGTCGTGTAGTATCAGATACATTCACCAACAGCGGCGTTAAATAGCGAAGCAAGCAAGATGTTGGCGTCTTCCCTTGCATTATCAGTCAGTGCAGTTTCATTCATGCCGTCCATGTTTACAATGGCACATGTATCGACGGGATGCCGGGGATCTCAAGCTCGGTAATTACACGAGGTACATTACCACTACAGTACAGTACTACCACAAGCCTCTTCTTCAACGGAAGATACCTATCTTACCTTTTGCTTATAGTTTCATCCAGTATACGTTGGTGACCGGTTCGGATGAATACCAGTGGGCGATTCGCGAGGGGAAAGAGACGCCCAAACACGGGGCAAGAAAATCAAAATAGGAAGGCAGGCATGATCGAATTCGCAGGCCACCTTAGTAGACCCATCACCACTTCCTGTTGTCCATCAATCAGGGGCAGTCCCGACCGTCCATACCTCCAAACCCTCGGATGGACCTTCCTCTTTCACGTACATTCTCCCTCCTCTGTCTAGCCCAATTTGTCGAACTCTGCATTCATGATTGAATCGGCAAATTCCCCCGTATTCGTCCCTCGAATTTCTGCTCAAGTTCCGGCGATCGTGTCTTTGTGTTTCCACGGGTACTCCATCTAGACACGTCTTCGAGAAGCCTATCATAGGTAACCACTGTAACAACAATTTCGTTGTCTCTCCAGTCTGCAGCACACACGGCAAACACCGCACACCGAATGTGTCACGAGTCGTATCTGTATAGTTCGTGTAGTCGCACCTCGGGAAATTATCGAGCTGTGTGACATGCCGACTATCTATCTGTCTTTCTCTCAGATAGGAGTTCACCTAGGTTCCGGGCCAGGAGTGCCTGACTTCCTCTGTCTTATACTGACAAACCACCGACCTTTTAGAAACAAACGATGACCACTGCAACATCGCCCAACGCTCTAGTACCTATCTTCCGTAGTGTTGCACTAAAGACGGGTGGGCGGGAGCACGCTGACACGGGACGCACGTGTCTCGTCTGAGATTCGTGTCTCGGGGTCAACCGAACCTGCAGCGAGAAAAACAGTTACCGGACGAGGCTTGACCAATTTACCTAACCGTTTTCCGTCGTCAAGAGCGTTTGGTTGCCGACGACTGAGATGCGCTGTAAAATACTACACATATTCAGTTACCGAAACTAAGGTTCGTGCTACCTCTAGGCAGCGCGAATGCCTATAGTATTTAGAGGATGCAGCAAAAGGTTTGGTGAGTTTCCCCTCAAAAGAGCCAGTAAACGCGCTAAGAAAACTGTATTGGGGAGATAATCATCGCCTTGGCAATGAGGTGGCTTGTAGAGTGGACGGCGCTTGATTTGGGCGAAGCGCAGAGGATTCGCGCCTGGCCTCTATCTCCTCACCTGCAACTGACCAATCAACCATTACGCACTATACCCAACAAGATTGAATGAAAGATCGGAATGCGGACGATAAAGGCTTTTCTTAGGCGCTTGTGCTCTATAAGCGGGTCGCCAGCATGAAGCAATCGAACGAGATGCAGTTGAGATGTGTTGCCGTAAAGGTCACTATGGTAGTCTGTCTCACCGTGCTCGGAATCCGGGATCCTGACAAGTTAAGTTGTAGTGTAATAAATGACGTCTTGTGCTTACAGAATGTCTTAGGAAAACCTCGAGTACATATGAATAAAGAACCAGACCAACATTTCGAGACTGTTTCACTTTTCATCTACCCTGGTTCTGTTACTACCAACATACCCGACTTCCCGTCAAGGCCAGATGAAATCATCACTACGAGTGTAAGAACTCTGTTCCCAGCAGCGCACCGCTGGGTCGAACCAAGACCAAACCCCTATTATTCGGGTAAGTTGGTTAAAAACGGGCCGGACACGCTTATATGATTTAGTACTGACTTCCTTGTTTGTGAGCTTGGTATCCGGGGACTACTACTACACAAGACGAGATGTCTTTCGAATTGTCCCAAACCCTTCAAGTATTGAATGGAAGGTTGCGTACGGATCCGAAAGACGTCAGCAAGATCTAATACAGTGTATTTTACTTGGCAAAAGCATATTTACAGTCTCAAAATGCCTACGTATGGAAGTTGACCCAAGGTCTCGAGCCAACATCCAAAACCAGTAATGGACCGCCTATACTAAACCAGACCTAGTGAGTATCCGGACTGTTTATCCAACACCACCTACGGGTAAGCGTGTTATGGAAGATCGCAAATCTGAACCCACAAGAGGCTGTACACTAGTAGCGTACCTACAGCTACAGGGACCAGGGCCTAGAGTACAACCTCACTCTATCACCATGTTTATTCGCTTTACACTCTCTACTGACATCACGACGTGTGGCACAACGCAACGCCGAAGCAAAGCACAGCCTCTAAATTCTATTTCTATTCACCAACTTCCAAGTTGGCGGGATGGGCATCAGATATACCCAATTCTTGCAGGTTATCACTATGTATGACACTGCCATGTACGAGAAACCGTCGTCGGAAAACATAGCGGGCAAACATCACGATTCGTAGCGACCGATGATATCAGTGGTGAATCCATATAAATTTGGACATGTCCTGCCAATGGTCCTGATGAAGATGGAAGTCTCAGGGTCCATAGCCATCTTTCCGTCTTTCTTTACTTTTGAATACCTGTGTTTATTGTAATTTCTTGACTCGGTTCAAGATGATCTTCAGCAAGGCAGCTCTGGCCGCGGCGGCCATGATGGCTTCAACCGTCTTCGCCAGGAGATGCGGAACGCCAGGCATGACCCCCGACCAGGTGAACAGCTTTAACACGCTGGCCACCAAGGCCATGACCAAACTCACTGCGGTAAAGGCAAACTTCCAAAAGGCAGAACTCCAAGATGTGGAGGAGAAGGTGATCAAAGTCTATGTTCACGTCTTGGCGAATGGTACCAAGGTGGAAGATGGGTATCTTGATGTTAGTTTACCTACCTACCACACTCATAACTTACCCCTTCCTTTCATCTGCTAATGAAAACATCTTTCACCGTCATAAAGGAATCCCAAATCCACGAGCAAATCTCGGTCCTCAACGCCGACTTCAGCTCCGCCAAACTTTCCTTCAACCTGCAAAACGTTTCCTACACCATCGACAATAACTGGGCCAACGGCTTGGAAGAATACGCTTTCAAGTCGCAACTGCGCAGAGGCGACTACTCGGACCTGAACCTCTACTTCCCCTTAACCCTCCCCGATTCCCTGCTCGGGTACTCGCACTTCCCCGTCTCCCTCACTGGAGAGCGGCAGGATGCCACCAGCCCCAAGGACATCTTCCTTCTCGACGGCGTCGTCATTCGCTCCGACACTTTGCCGTTTGGCAACTATGCTCCGTACAACTTGGGCAGGACGGCCACCCACGAAACCGGGCATTGGTTTGGTCTCGATCATACTTTTGGCGCGGGGGGGTGTGAGGGCAAAGGGGATATGATTGCGGATACGCCCTTCGAGGCGTCTCCGGCTTATGGGTGCCCGGTGGGAAGGGATAGTTGCCCGGATCAGGAGGGACTGGATCCGATTCATAACTTTATGGATTATTCTGACGAGTGAGTTTGTTCCATTTTTCCCTTCGTGTGGTCCCTGGTGGTCCCTGTTGGTGGTTTTTGGGTTTGGGAAAGGGAGAGGGGAGAAAGATTGCTAACAATGGGAAAACAAAAAACAGTGGTTGTATGGAGGAGTTTACCCCGTTGCAAAAGGCTTATATGCACAGTGCCTTTGAGACTTATCGGCAGAATGTTGCTGGGCCTTAGATGTGAGGGTTGCCTTGAAGATGGTGAGTATGATGGCGAGTTGTATGTTGAGTGGGAGTGTATAATAGGTAATTACTGTTTGGGATATTTAATGGGATGTGTGCGGCAAGGGAGGGAGGGGCTGTTTATTTTGGGTTTATGGCTTACCTGCAGACTATCTGCTTCTGCAATAATAACGAAGAGACTTCATTTCCGATTTACTCATGGCAAGAAGTCGTCAGGTTTCTCTTCTTGTGATAGTAGTTTACAACTGGTTTGAGAATGAGTGGATTCTGGGAATTGAGTCTGCGTAGAGTTGAATAGTAATTGTGGCATTTTCAATCATTTGTGCCCCTGGTGTTCCCCAGATCCCCCAATCAGTATCAGGTAGATAGGTACCTAGCCAATCGCCAAAGTTCCGCGATGGTTGATTTGGCTTCACAGAGCCGGTAACCCTAACCCTCAGCTCATGTACCCCTGAACAGAGCCGAGCCAGGTGATGACTTCAGGCGAACAGTCAATCCTCCAGGGGCTTGAGGTAACTTTAGTTGAAAGCCTTACAAGACGCAGTTATTTGGGAATCAATGTGCAGGATACTTGAAGTTGACGGTGTGCCTGACATGTGTACCTAGCTAGTGCCGGCAGATGAGTCTGCAGTACTCAATCCCGACGTGCGTGATGCAAAAAGGGATGCCATTCGGTGTTATTCTCTTTTTTAAGCAGGGTAGACAGTTGTTCGACTGGCCTTTCTCGGACTGGCATCTTTGCATCTCGTATGGAAATCCTGGCAAAGGCAGCCGGCACTCTAAGCCCTCCGGAGGGCACCGGAGCAGCGGGGCTTCGCTAGGATCAAGATACGGAACTTCTGGGATGAACACGTCCGAGTTTTCGATGGCAATCCCCGTCCTGGAAGTCCAACTTCCGGATGAACCGGTGGCAGCCGTCTTGGCTTATGCTCGATTTCTCCGCCAGCCCCGAACGTGCTAGCGTTTGGCATTCGGTTTGCGATGGGATCAGACTTTTGTGCAAAACATCACTCGACCATGTGCCAATAGGTTACACCCGAGTGCCTGGTACGACCGTACCACACAGGTCGTCATGGCTTCACCATTGCGCCCCAATAACGCCCAGGGTTGAAGTGGGATTGAATGGTATGGGACTTCCGGGGGTCCCAAGCAGTTGGAGGGTCCTCAATCATGGTCCTGTAACAATAGGGGGAAAGAAGGCCGTTGACTGCTTGTGAGACTGCACCAAAGAGTGGGAAAAAGATCACGCTTCTTCCTCGACTTATATCTGTTTGTCTGCTGAGGCTGGAACACAAGCAACTCGAGCTATAAGACTCCAAGTTGCCAGACTCTCGAGTGTTGTTGACAATGAAGTTGCTGACTCCACGGGGTGGGCTCTCTGGATGGAGATGCCGGTAACGAATCATCTCGGTAGAGGATTATAATAGCCTCGGCAACAAGGGGCGGGAATAGCGCCCTTGTCACGGCCAAGGCGACAACAGCCCAAACCGTAAAGTGATATGATATGATTGCTTAAATCGGCGATAGTCGAGGACCTTGGTTTGTTTGATAGTCGAGGTGGGTGGATGTTGCGGCCGGCGTAATGTCATTCTACACACACAACACAGGGAGACAGGTTCCGAGAGAGTTCATGGTGGCCACTTGCGACGGATGCTGGGGCTACGGCCGCCAATCTGTCGTATAGCGTGGATGATCGGGTCCTGGCTGGTTCGCCCTGGTTACCTCTGACAGGTACCAGTCCGGTGCTTTTCCCCGGCCGCCATGTGACAAAGGGGGGAAAACTTGAGGGGGTGTTGGGCCCCGGGTCAGGGACAATTGAAGGTCGCCGTCACACAAAGTTGGCGTGGTGCGCTAATGGAGCGAGAACCAAGCAGAACGAATCGACGTAGGTAGTGTAGAATCCAATGAGCCCGATCTCGAAGCGATTGAGAACCTAAACAGAAGGCCCCCGCCTGCCTGCCCGCCCGGTTGTCGTGTGCCTGGCTGTGCAAGAAGAGCCCAGAGAGAACTGGACCTGGAGGCACAGGCCACAGAGCCGGGAGCGCCTGCCTGCCCCCCTGTGCCCGTGACGGGTCCCGTCCACTTGCTGATGCCCGGGCCCCTGTGCCCCTGTGCCCCTGTCCAGGTATTGCCTGTCCCCTGGCATCGCCCAGTTTATCAATTTACCGATTCCACGCGGCGCAAAAGTCTGGAAGTGCGTGTCATTGCGGGAGAGACCTGGCTACTACCTTTTACACTACGGAACTGCCTGGAAGAGGACCTGACGGCGAGGAACGAAGACGGAATCAAGGCATCCCCGCAACGGGCGTGCTCCATTCATTCATTCATTCATTCGCTCTGTCGACATCATCCAACTTTATGCCTGCCCTTTTTGTGTCACGTTTCTCTTTGAGCCTTCAGTTCCCTTCGCCTAATCCGACTAGAGACCAGACGACCCAGGCTTCTAGAGTGCACACTAACGGGACCACTGCGGACGCCAAAAGCAACAAGGACTGGCACCCACTTCACTGCCCAAGCCAAGAAGCACCACCTCGACGGCCAATAATCCCAACACGAACCGCCCAATCTGCGCTCGGCCCACGCCTTCTTTTTCTTCCCAACCGTCTTCTAGATACAAGTCTTTCTTCCCACTTTGCAATCTTCAACCTTGCTAGGGGCCCTTCCGCTTTCTTTCCCCTCTCTCCAGCAAACCAGGTGCCGAACGAGATAACGAGGTCCTCTGAGCGAGCGAGCGATAGCCCAACGACCCGGACAAGTCGAGCCACTACACTGCACTACGCTAGGTGCAGCGATCCAAGCGAGCGAACGAGAGCGAGCCCCTCGACTGCCCAAATTGTGATACGCCCTCACTTCGTCTTTTTTTCCGGCGCCCGCCATACACACACGCTGATACCAAGCAAAGCCCGCAAAGCCCAGCCCTCGTTTCCTGGCCCTCCGCCTCTGAGACAGCGTGACCGCATGCTACAGTCGACCGAGACATCGATTAGTCCGATCACGGCTTGATATTACCGGCCCCCCGATTCCGTCCCGAAAGCTGAAGCACCACCACCAGCCCGGGAGGCCCTGTGACGTTGTCTCCAGGCGCACCTACTGTACCTGCCAGCCCTGCCAGCCCGCCTTGTCAACACCTGTCGCCAATACTGTCTGACTGCTTGCTTGCTTGCTTGCTTGCTTGCTTGCCTGTCCTCTTAACTGAGGGGCCATCGCTATCCACGCCAGGTCTCGCTGATCTGCTTGTGATAGACGACTAATACACCACTCCACGACCCCGTTTGGTTTTGAAAGCAGAAAATAAAAAGAAGAAAAGAAAGAAAGACAAAAAGGCACCCGAGGGCTGCTGTGGCATTCGGCCCATCCTCCTCCCCCAAACAGGCCTCTATTCTCTTGTCTAGATGATGGTGCGTCCGCATTTCCTCCCTCGCTGGTTCCCGACCCCCGGATACCGGGATTTGGATCCATGCTCTCGGCGGAGCCGCACGTCAATTTCCGAATATGGATACCGCGTGTCGCTTCCTGGGCGATCGTCTTTGCAGGAGAGACATGAAAAAATTATGGGTCCTTGTGGATCGGGAGAACCTCCTTTCGACTGACCAACCTGTTGTTATTCCAGCAGACCTCATCCCGTCCCCAAGGCGATGTTGGCTCCAGTTTCGCCAGCCGACGCGGCCACGACCGACTGTCGATATCCGATCCTAGCCGCCACGTCACCGAGACCATAGGAACAATGTACACCATCGACGACGACGACTCTGGTCCCGAAGACGGCCGTCGGGCCAGCCGCCCCCTTAGCTTCATTGCGACCCAGGGAGATCACTTGGAGCGCCTCGCTAGTCTCGCCGAGGAGCCCTCCGAGGAGAACTCGGGGGATGAACTGCGCCTCGTCCGGACAACCTCAGACAAGACCAAGTCAACACTACACGACACCACTGGCGGAGAGGGGGGCGATGATGGGTTCATGGGTGGACGCACCTCGAAGGAGTCCAGCACCCTCCCGATGAGGAAGTCAAGCGACACGAGCAGTTCGTCAGAAAGACCGGCCTCTCCGCTTTCGCCCGCGCGCTCGATACGGGAACTCCAGGCCGATGGGTCGGCCTCCCAGTTCCCCATGACGAATATCGACGATGCCAACGACATTGCACAAGAGTTAAGTAATCTGCAGGCGCTGCGACGGCTATCGATGGATGTTGGGAATTTCAACGACCCCGATCTTCTTCCTTTCTCGAATATGGGCCTAGTCCAGTCTGGTCCACCATCGGGCGAAGATGATGAAGCAGACCCGTCCCGTTTGCTATGGGTACCTGCGAGAGTACACCCGGAACTCGAACCTACGGCGTTCAAAGACTTCCTGGAGAATCGCGTGCAGGCAATAAAGCGGCGGTCCAGTGACTCCATGTTGTCGATTGACCTGAACCGAAGTGACTCGACAGGTGGAGGAGGGGGCTTGAGGAGAAAGAAGTCAATGCTCTCTCGCCAAATCAAGCCGACGAGTGAGGGTATTGACTATGTGGATGGCGCAGAAAGGCTGCAACGGCAACGCTCCCTCCATGGCGATGGTAACCCAGAACCTAGCCTGAATGAGTTGGTAGATGATCCTACGAAAGCAGTCAAGAAACTGGCGCTTGAGACTCACCAAGAGGTGGACGAGGGTGACATCCCGATACTTCCTGCTCCAAGTATGGGTCTAAGACGCTCCACAAAGACAACATACAGAAAAAGCGGCAGTGTACGCGGGAACAAACCGTCATTTTCGAAGAGGGCCCATGGAAGGCAGTCATCCGAGCTTGAAGATGATATGCCCCCTGTTCCGGCAATGGACGAGGCGTCAAGTCAAGGCCTGAAGAGGGTACAGTCTGAGCCGGCCCTGGCTGATCTCTACTCACATCCCGAGAAATCGCTGCACACACGGCAAAATTCTGCACGCGATCCCTCGGGTTCGTCCAAAGATATAACCGTACGACGATCGTTAGAAGACACACCCAACAGAGCTCTTCAGGACGAACCAAAGTCGGCTAGCCCGCCTGCCCCGGCCCCAGCGGAAGTCCTCCCTGTCAAGAAGACTCCGCCCATACCGCCACCTACAACCGCCCCGCCGCCGGTGCCTGCAATCGTTGCGACGCCGCCAGCAGAGACAAATAAGCAGACTCTACCCGATAGATCATCCACCCAAAAGGCGGACGAGCCGTCTCCTCGCGCCGAAAAACGTCCGTCGATTGACGCAACCCAGTCGACAGCGCAAGCCAATGGCAAGAGTCAACCTAAGCCTTCCGCGCCGAGCGTAATTACGCAACCCTCGCCGGCATCGGATGAGAAGAAAGCGGACAAGAAAGCGAAAGAGAAGGAAGAGGTTGAAGCCCCCACCAAATCGTCCGGATGGAAATGGTTCAAGAGTGATGAGAAGGACAAGAAGAAGCGCGAGAAGGAAAAGGAGCGCGAGAAAGAGGAGCAAGCTCGGAAAGCGAAGAGCAAGGGCGGAGACAAGAGCCATGATGCGACCCGGTTGGACGTTCTACAAAACTCCATTGAAGGCTCTTCTAAAGGCCGGGAGAGCTTGGTGCTGGATCGGGATAGTATCGACAAGAACGAGGACAAGAAGAAGGAGACCAAGAAGGAAAAGGAAGGCTTCTTTGGTGGTCTTTTCGGAGGCAAAAAGAAGGCTGATAAGGAGCCTGCCAAGAAGAAGGAGCAAACCCTACTTACTCCAGAACCTCCTCGCCGAAAACTTGTTCCCGATGTCGACTACTCTTGGACTCGCTTCCCGATTATTGAAGAGCGAGCCATTTACCGGATGGCTCACATCAAGCTTGCGAACCCCCGCCGACCCTTGCACAGTCAAGTCCTGCTCAGCAACTTTATGTACTCTTATCTCGCAAAGGTCCAGGCCATGCATCCCCAGCTCAATGTGCCCACCTCACCGCAGCAAAGGCGATTGGAGGAAGAGCGCAAGCGCCGTGAAGCCGAACAGAAGGCGGCGCAGCAGCGAGCGATGGAGCAACTCGCCCTTGAACAACAAATGGCGGCGATGTCTGGCCAGACCGATTTCAACTTTGAGTACCATCGCGTAAGTTAACGTTTGCCTAAGCCGAAAAATGGTTGTGCTTAAAGATACTAACACGTCGTTTAGGCTGGAAATGGTTACGGCGAGGCATCGGGCGGCGGCACGCAGTACGTTGATGACGCTCAGATTTATGAATACGAGCAACAACGGAACGAATCTCGCGCCCGCCAGGAAAACCAACAACAAGAAAATGGCAAAAATGACGAGGCAAAGGACATGTGGTAGGGCGACCACGGCCCGTCTTCGAGCTGGTCTAGACTCTGCCTAGCTGGTTGAAGAAGTCTGCGGTACCAGTCCCAGGCCATCACTCTGGTGGGTTAAACTGCACGTCAGGCTTGAATAACGTCTTGTCCGGCGAGGAATAAGAGACGGGCTCAGGCTGCTTCATAGTGCGAGAGGAGGTAGTGGGACATTTGACAAGAGCATATTGTACTTAGCTAATCTTCCTTTTCTTTTCGACTTTGTAAACAAGAGCAGCAGCAGCAGCAGCAGGAGGAGGAGAAGGAGAAACAACACGAAAAGCAGCCCAGCAGCGAGCATCGGGATTGGCGTATTGGGAGACAAATGTCATGAAATGGGGGAGGCGGCAAGGCGATGAAAGATATATATTTATTGGGTGTTGTAAAAGAGATCAATGGTTGAGAGTGGATGGATGGCAAGTAGGAAGGATATGGGTTGGGAATTTATTGCAACTCTATTTTTTCTTTTTTTTCTCAACATGTTGCGAGTCGGGATCTATCTACCCTTGAGAGGAGAGAGAAAGCGACCGAGAGAGAGACAAAGAGTTTATCATCCTGTTTTGTATCACAACGCAAAAAATGTCACGGCAATCTGTTGGTCCCCCTTGGGAGCAACGAACTCTCTTCTTCTTGACAGCGACTTTGGGCTGCCCGCTGCACCAGATTTGGAAACAACGAACAACTGTCTCGGTGCGCCTTTCATCAAGTGAAACTTGGCAGCCTTCTTCCTTGTTACAGTTTGCCCTCGTTGACTAGTAGGTATTTTGAGTACCTTCCTGTTGATCCCCTTGCCGTCGGACTTGAGCTGAGCTTCCCCTGGCTCCGTCTGCGATTATGTACCTAGCTAGGTGATGCCGAGTAGTAGGTAGAACGGTATGATGATGTGTTAAACTGGAGTACCTAATCCACGCAGCTGACACTGAGGTGTTGTTGGCAGCGCCTAGCACTCTGGCAGGGGGTGTCGCGCTTCCGGGCAGCTTGCCACGCCCGTCTGGCTGGTGCCTGCCCCTGGCGGTCACCACTTGCATGGCCTCTACATACACTATAGGCGCTCAATAGGGAAGGCGGGAGCTGTAGACATGTACCAAGGTAGCCTGGAGGTACCCACCCGCCCGCCCGCCCAGCTGGAGCCAAGACAGAAAAGACACAGCGACGGGAGAGCTCCCCTCCCGTCCGGGCCCCTCCTGTCACGGTTTGGCCCTCAGTTTTCAATCACTGCCCGCTTGGAACCATTCAGATTTGAGCACCAGCCTACCTACCTACCTACGCCGTGAACTCTCCCGGCCTCTCTGAAAATCTTCCCGACATCAACCACCATCCAGACAAAAACATATCTCCCATACCTACCTACCTTTATCCTCTCCGTCCTTGGGGCTCTCTGTTGACCTCCGCTTCGTGTAATATTCTTTCTTACTTCAACTCGATTCTCGGGCCGCCGTCGTCCGTTTCTGCTTGATACCCCGCCTCCCGGTCGCGACCAAACGCCCGTCTGTTGTTGCTTCAGCTGTCGGCACCATCACCGCCCGGTTGCGCATTTGTCGACATTTGACTTTCCACTTTCCGCCACATACTTGGCACCGCACTACGCCCGCCGTCAGCTACCTTCTACCCCTTCACGTGTAGCTTCCCATTCGGCCTTCAGCTCTCCCTCCATCCCGATCCCCAACACCCCTCGTCCTCACCTGGTCGCCGAAGCCAGCAAATACCCAACCTCCCCCAACGCACATCTCAGTCTTCTGTATTGAAGCCCTCTACCGGGATGGCATCTGTGAGCTTCTCCTCCCTTCTTTTTCTGCTTCCCCCCCTCTCGCTGCCCAGCTTCAGCACGTTCCCCAACCACCATTCCACCTCTTCCCCACCATACACTACTCCGATCACCGTCACGTCTCGTCGAGCATGTCTGGCTGGCGATCGCCTTGACCGCCCGGCTGTCTACGAAGCTCGAGCCGACACGCCATCCTCGCCTGTCGCTACCTTGACGCGTGTTTGCTAACTTGACACGTTCCTCGACAGCAACCCCGTAATACATACAACGCCCCCGGGTTTCTGCCCAATGGTGCCGCTCCTCATCAGGGCCCAGTACCCGGCGCTACACCTCTCCTCCCGAACCAAGGCCGCATTTTGGAAACTGGTCCCACCAGAGTTCTCTGCATTGCAGATGTTCGAGGTAAGTTTCTCCTCCAGTGTTATCCTGTCCCGGCTGCTGGTTTGCGCCTTGTTTACTGACTTGCCCCTTCCCTCTTGCAGGTAATCTCCGGTCCTTGAACGAGCTCGCCAAGGCCGCCCGCGCCAACTATATCATTCACACTGGTGACTTTGGTTTCTACGACGAGACATCTCTCGAGCGTATTGCGGAGAAGTGCGATATCCCCAGCCCAAATCTGGTCTTGCCTCGCTGACCAACCTTTGAACAGGACATTGAAACATGTTGCCCAATATTCGCCCCTGATTTCCGAGACCACCAAGAAGGCCATTGCGCAAGCCGCTTCCGGCCCCGTCAAGAGCCGCTTCCCTGCTAGCGAGCTTCCTCTTTCCGAGCTGCCTCTCCTCATTTCGGGCGAACTGAAGCTGGATGTTCCCGTGTACACGGTTTGGGGCGCCTGTGAAGATGTCCGGGTGCTTGAGAAGTTCAGATCAGGAGAGTACAAGGTGCCCAACCTGTTTGTGATCGACGAGTCTCGGTCGAAGCTCCTCGAAATCGGCGGTGTCAAGCTTCGTCTTCTTGGTTTGGGCGGTGCTGTCGTTATGCACAAGCTTTTCGATAACGGCGAAGGACGGACTACGATCGCTGGTGGACAAGGTACTATGTGGACTACACTTCTACAGATGGGCGAGCTTGTCGACACTGCTAATCGCGTCTACGACCCTACCGAAACACGCATCTTCATCACCCACGCTTCGCCCGCTCGTGAGGGCATCCTCAACCAGCTTTCGGTAACTCTCAAGGCGGATTTCTCCATCTCGGCTGGTCTTCATTTCCGTTACGGAAGCTCGTACAACGAGTTCAGCGTCAACCCGACGTTGGATCACTACCGTGGAAAGCTGGCCGCTAGTAAGGCATCTTTCAACGATGTGTGGGAAACCGTCCGCAGTGAGGTTGAGCCCGCGATCCAGCAGAACGACGTCCAGCAGACCTTGCTCAAGAACGCACTCAGTGTTGTTGAGAAGATGCCTACGACCGCTGCTGGTGGGAACCCTTTTGGTGGTGCAGCTGCGGGCCAGTCGGCCGCCGCGCTCGGCCAAGTCGACGAGAGCGCCTTTAAGAACATGTGGAACTTCAACCTTGCTGATGCCGCGTTTGGATGGCTGGTGCTGGAAATTCACGACGGAAGGATTGGAACCGAAATGAGAGCTCAGGGATTTAACTTCTCCCATCGCGGGGCTAAGCAACCCGTGTATGCGGCCCAGGGTGCCGTCCCGCCCTCGACCGGAGGCGCTAACCCTGTTCCTACTGGCCCCGCTGCCGCTTCTACACCCGTTCAACCCGCAGCGCAGCCCGCGCCTGCGGTACCTGCCGTCCCTGTTGTTCCCAAGCAGCCCCCCGCGCAAACTGCTAAGCCCGCTGCCCCGTCGCCGGCCCCGACACAACCCAAGGCGGCTACACCACAGCCTGCTGCCGCCTTGCCCGCATCAAGAGAGTCTGAGAAGCCGGCATCCGCTCCCACGAACGGGGCTTCCAATAATCCGGAGCCTACCCCTTCTCCGGCGCCCAAGAGCGCTGCAGAAAGTATCATTGGCCTCTTTGTCATGCAACCACCGAACGATGACGCCATCCCTGGCCTGTTCGCGGAGGAGGACAAGTCCAAGATCGTCAAGGTTGATAAGTGGGGCCAGAACAACAGAGTAGTCATTTTCAAGACGGTCGAGGATCGTGACGGTGCCTTGGATCGCTTGCCTCAGGAATACAAGTCTCGTGGCACTGGCTCGGACGACCGCTCGAAGCCGCTCATCAAGGTCTTCAGCCCTCCCTCGTCAAGACCGTTCAACACCCGTGGCGGCGCCGGTACGTGGGCCAGCAGCAGAGGTGGTCGGGAAGGTACCCAGAGCGGATACCGCAGCGCTGGTGGCGGAACTGCTAGCGATAGTGAAGGCGCTGGTCGTCGTGGAGGTCGCGGAGGTTCCAGAGGCGGCCGTGGTGGTGAGCGCGGCGGACGTGGCTCGCGCCGTGGGGGCTTGAAGGGTGACGGAAGCCCGGCTACGACTTCTGCTACCCCGGCTGACTCTTAGGACACGAAAGCTGTGGAGTTGAAAGTCGAAGACTCGAAGCAAGGTTCGGAGAAAGGTTCGAAAGAAGGTTTGAAGGCAATTCTGAAGAAAGCTTGTGCCAGAAAATCATCAGACATTCACGAATCGACGTCGTGAGATGCAGATGGTTAAGTCAACCTTGATCAATGAAGGCCTGGCGTTGTTGGGGAAACGGTGCTTACTAGGGATAGATTTAACCCTAGCAATGTTGTTCTGGACTGGGACTGAAGAAATAGTGCAGGGATTGTTTTATCAAGTCAGGTTCAAGACAGGCTAGGTAAGCCACGTCGAACTGAGCTGAGCTTGCTGCGCGGGAGAGGAGAAGTGAATGAGGGGAAAGCGAGAGGAAGAAAACAGCGTACAGTTTACCATTACAATTTCAAGAACCAAAAACATTCTTCGGAGTTGTTCATGTCTCTCGATGCAGATATTGTAGATGATGCGGATGGTGTTTCAGGTCGAGGTCTCCAAAAGGACGTTAGCGGATTTGCTTACTTTGCTTTTTTCTTTTTATTCTTCTTCTACCTTGTGTTCATGTCTTCACTTAAATTCGCTTTTTGTAAGACAAACATGCAAGGCTCGTTTTTATCGGCCGTACAAACGAAAAGATGTCGAAAGGTAGAGAGAGCATGGACATGATAAGTTTGTAGAGTAATATGTACCTTAGTCTAGCCCGCCAGAGAGCGTTATGTCCAACATTGTTTGCAAGCCGCATCAAGTGTTGTTCCCCGAACCTCTCCG